GGCTTCACAGTATTCACATTCTTGTTCCAAAGGATTGCTCATCTATTTCATTTAGCAAATGATCTGCTATATTCAACACCATCATTGTTTTTGCTGGATCGGGGCTGTACGGGATCACAGCTGGAGACATCCTGATTCATCCACATCCAGAGGCCAGAGCAAAACTAGCACAGTAAGCAGGTAATAGATCACAGGACACCCCAATCCTTCTAAAAGGACCCTGACTGATCGCGTTCTTCACATGTTCCCTTCATTTTCAGCAAGAATGCTGGGTGAATGGCTGGGTGAATGTCCCGTCCCCAAATCAGGGGGACGGGACTGACCTGGAGGTCAGGGTCACGGTATTGTCTCACGGTCAGGGCGAACATGAGCCATCAACTTCAGAAATGCAGCACTAAAGAAGGTGTTGGGCCCTTGGTATTTCGACAGAATCTAATTAGAAACTCTCTTTCTGTTTGAAACAACAGGGCTATTCACTCATTCCTAACCAGAAAATGTTTGTAGACCTCAGAGGAAGTGCTTGGGATTCTCAGGGGTTTATTCCTGTGAACATCAGCCAGGCTTCACGCCAGCCTTGCTGCTGTGATCCTTAACGTCTTTAAAAAAAAAAAAGCTGCTCGCTCATCTCAAGCTCTCAACCATCCTGTGCGCATTTCTTTTAATTGTCTCCTGGAGGCCTCTGTGGTTTGGCCTGACCGGGGCGACCGTATGCTCCTGAAAATCCTGAAGAACAATCTGGTCTAGAGGAACCACTGCATAACGGTCTCGATCAGGATCTCCTGGGTCCCTGTGGAGTCTTAGAGCAACGTGATTGAGCCAATTGTCTGAAGTGAAGAAATTGGGGGAAGAAAAACACATTTTAATTTCTAACAGTCAGTCTAAGCTGGAGACCAGCACTTAGAATAGAAACAGGATAGTTAAAGAATGAACTCTGCACAACCCTAGGAAAAAAACACCTTAGCAGCGCCAAATTAAAGGGGCAGCTCATGTCACACGGCTTCACTCAGCAATTTCATAAAGTGGCGTAACCTACACAGTCTATTCTTAATGACTTGCATTTGCTGTTTCCGCTTAGTTTTCCATTTGCCCTTTAACTAAATACAAGGAGTGTGCTATAGTCCTCAGCCAGTAATGGATGGAGATATCAGAGACCATGTAGCAGCTACGTATACTCTATATGGAGTATACTGTAATAGACTGACACAGCCCAGTCACAGGGCTCTAGACTCTTACAGTCCCTGTGGAGTCCAGGACACTGACACAGCCCATTCACAGGGCTCTAGACTCTTACAGTCCCTGTGGAGTCCAGTACACTGACACAGCCCAGTCACAGGGCTCTAGACTCTTACAGTCCCTGTGGAGTCCAGTACACTGACACAACCCAGTCACGGGGCTCTAGACTCTTACAGTCCCTGTGGAGTCCAGTACACTGACACAGCCCAGTCATAGTGCTCTAGATTGTTATTGTCAAAGAGGAGTATTGTCAAACAAAGCTCAATCACAGTGCTCCCAAGTTCTTATCATCCATATACAGTACCATGATGCAGCACAATCACAGTGCTCGAGATTCTTACCATCAAAGTGGAGTACACTCCACACGTCACAGTCCCAGGACTCTAAAATCTCACAGTCATATTGAGCAGACTGAGCGAGCCCAGTCCCAGTTCTCTACATTCTTATTGCACATGCAGAGCACACTGGCAAAGTTTAATCATAGTGCTCTAGTTATCTTTAAAGCACAGTACATTGACAAAGCCCAGACACAGTGCTCTTAATTCTTATCAATGTGGAGTACACTAACACAGAGCAGTCACCGTGGTCTAGATTCTTAAAGTCTGTGTAGAATACACTCAGAGCCCCATCCCTAGTCCTCTAGATTCCTTTTTTCCCATGTGGACTACACTGACATAGCCCATTCTCAGTACTCTAGACTGGTATCATTTGAGTGGAGTATACTGAAAAAGCCCAATCCCAGTTCTCTA